AAGAAAGAAAGAAAGAAAGAAAGAAAGAAAGAAAGAAAGAAAGAAAGAAAGAAAGAAAGAAAGAAAGAAAGCTCCAAGAGTTCTTGATAGGTAATTGTGATGAAAAGACTAGAAGTAAAGTAAATGTAGATAACATTTTCGGATGACAATCTTTAAGATCTCCGTGTGTGAGCTTTGCCCTGCAGACAGGTTTGTACTCAATAACACACTGTTGCCATGTTAAGAGCTTTCTCTTCTCATGTCACTAAATAAATCCCACGCCTTTTCCCGGCCCCCTACCAATACCTCCTTCCTCGTATTTATATAATAACGAGTTCTGTTGGCCCTTACATCGTAACGTATGCATAATCTTGATTAAAACCATGTTTTTTAATTTAATTCTCAATTTCCCGTCGAGATTTTTAACGCACATGATATAAAAGTCAGTGCGCTTTCTTGCTTGTTAAATTTAATCCTTGCAAGTCGACCTCTGTTTTGTCACCAGTTGTTTTGTTACTCACATTAAATCGAACACAACTGAGCAATGACGTCAGAAATATTTGGGGGGAAAACTATCGCATGTCGACAAATGAGTAAAATCATTTCATTGAATTCGAGTGAAGAATGATATTTGAATGCTGAATAGGCTCTTTTGTTTGCATCGCTATTTCAGTTCGTTAGCAAAGGAAAAACAACACTTCATCAACTTAATATAAAATGGGTTAGCTAAAGCCTGTAGTGAAGATGGGATCACTGAATACGAAGGGTGAGGCGAAGAAAATGTTTTTTTACGACTTTGAAGGGGGAAAAAAGGACAAATGAAAAAGAGGACAAAGAGAAATGAGAAATTTAAGGGTGGGGTTCGAGTAGTCGAAAATGTAAAACAAAGAAATAAAACGATGAATAGAAGACGAAATGAAAAATAAGATCAAAGAAAAAGCGAAGCACAAAGAGAAAAGATTCGTAGATCCTGCTTCATATAAGCTAGAAATAAGCAAACATCATATGTCGCTTATACAATCATATTCGGCCATAAATAAACAGAACAAGAACCTTTGAGACGACATCCGTTCATCCGTTAGACCTTGTTTGAAAAGCGGTTATTCTAAAGACTCTTCTCTTAATATCAAATGGCTATCAACTCGTCGGTGTCTCTGGGATCCTATTCTAGAAAAGCGCACTCATATTTAGTACAACAGCATGTGTCTATATAACATCTATTATTTTTCTATGAATAATATTGAAGTGATTTTATTTATTTAGTACTGAAGTGACTCGATAAAGATTTGAAAATGCAGTTTGGATCTCTTAGCTTAATTTGATAGAATTAAACTTTCACTGAGCTGCAATAACTAAACATCCTTAGAGAAAGACAAGAAGGTTTTGTCAGACAGGTCGACTAGAAGTAGACTGTACAGGTTACTATTAAAGCTGCCGACTTCTTATAATGTTATGAACTTGTAAACAAACAATTAAAAAATAGAGAAAAGAGATCTAAAAATGGTTCAAGTATTTTTTTTTTCACTTGTTCATATTGCTTTGAAAATAATAGACTAAGTGATAAACAAGTATCGCATCCCTCATACCAAGATTCGTTGCCATATAGCATGCACTGTCATAACTATTCACAAAAATGGGCGACAATATTCCACGTCTATGGCACGTGGTATGTGAAGTAAAATCATATCACGTGATAATATGCTTGACAACATAATAAATAATACTTATTCATTTGTCTCATGATGCATCTTTCTTAAAATGATTGTCTTGAATGCAAGGCTAATATGGAAATACAAAAGAAATGCTACAAATTCCATCAAGAAAAAGATTGATTTATTTTGTATTTCCATGTTAGCCTGGCATCCACGATACTTTTGAGGAGGTCCATTGAGGGTCGTTTGTAGAAGGACCGCGACGTTTCGACTGCAAACTGTTAGTCTTTCTCAGACGCATCACCATGGTACGGCGGATGGCGTCGTCAGCACTATGCTCCGTTCACTAGTAAAGCACAGTTTTTGAACAATCAGCGAGCGCGTACTATGATGAAAACGGCTATTAAGATCCTTGTTATGAAGTAATAATAATAATAATAATATAATGATAATGATAATAATAATAATAATAATAATGATGATGACGATAATAATAATAACAATAGTAATAATAAAGAAATAGAAATTGTTTTACTGGATATTTTGCCCATCAAAACATTCCAACGGACAATTAAACTCGTGCGTAGAAACGATGCGCGCAAACAATGCCCATGACCATCCTTTCTATGTAAGACTTTCTATACTCTATGTAAGGCCATAAACATAAGTTAAGCTGTCTATAAAACCGTGTAACTGTTTCCTGAAAAGCACCGATTAAAATGCATGACAGTAAGCCATGAAGTGATATTACTGAGTTGGTCGATATTTACTGAGGAAAGTAACTGATGAT